AAGCCACGGTATGCAGGCTAGCTATGACTGGACATCAGTCCATCCTCATAGCCTCCTGTTACATCCCTTCAGGAACCTATCCCCTCAAAAAGGATTTTGAGGCCATTTTATCTTTAGGCAATTCAGTCATTATGTTTGGAGATTTTAACTCCAAGCATACTAAATGGACATGCCGCACTACGTCCCCTAGTGGCAAGATACTGCTCGATATCACACAGTCTCTTGATATTACCGTCCATAGTCCTCTCGGTGTTACTCACTTTCCCGATAACACCGATCACGCCCCCGATGTGTTAGATTTTGCGTTACTCCAAGGAGTTTCTCTCAACCTCAGAGCAATCGAGACACTAGACGATCTAGGATCAGATCACCGACCGGTCTCCCTCATTCTTGGCCATCAGCCACCTCCTCCAACACACACGAAAACCTTCACTAACTGGAAGGGATTCAAGGAGTCCCTAGCTAAAGCTTTGGACTCACAGGACTCTACCATCTCCCTACCGTCGGACTTAGATAGTCCCGAAAAAATCGACACCGCGGTCGACTCACTCTCCACCCTTATTAAATCCTCCCTTAAGGAGAACGAAAGGGTCGTCCCGGTTGCTAACAATAGTGGGCTTCCCCTACATATTAGCAACCTATTAAGAGCCAAAAAACCTGCTTTCCGGAGAGCAGCAAAATATCCCACCCCCGAATATAGGCGCGCGGCCAATCGTCTTCAACGAGAACTCCGCTTCCGCCTCTCTGTATTTCGAGACCTCGAAAAGAGTAAGCTCATGGAGAATATCTCTCCATCTCACACAGCGTACTATCAGATGGCTAGAGCCCTCCGCATAGACGCTATCACCCACACTCCCCCTCTCTCCCGTCCCGACGGCACGGTTGCCTTCGAGGACGAGGAAAAGGCTGAGTGCTTTGCAGATAGCATTGCCGCTCAATGCTCTCCCAGTTCTCAAACCGTCGACCCCTCACACGTCCAGGCAGTGGAGGATGAGGTCCGCCGCCGGAACTCACCCCCCACGGCCTCCGAACCTATCTCTGTGTCCAATGAAGAGATTTCATCTCTCATCAAAGGACTTAAACCTAAAAAGGCTCCGGGAGCGGATGGCATCTCCAACCAAGCCCTAAAACACTTTCCCGAGCAGGTGTTAACCTTTTTATCTATTATCTTCAACGCCTGCTTCAACCTTAGTTTTTTTCCCACTACGTGGAAAGAGGCTACTGTGATTGGAATTCCCAAGCCAGGCAAGCCTCTCAACCTCCCCCTCCAGCCATCGCCCCATTAGCCTCCTCAAGGCAATGGGCAAGCTCTTCGAAAGAGTCATCCAAATTCGTATGAGGCGCTATCTGTTTCCCACAGACGGCGACCCTCTTATCATTCCCCATCAATTCGGCTTCCGAGCCAAACACTCATGTCCCCAACAAGTTCACCGCATTGTGGAATATATCCTCAGCGGTTTCTATCCTCGTCGTCATAAGACCATCGCGGTCTTTTTCGATATAGCCAAAGCTTTCGATAGAGTCTGGCACACAGGCCTCATCTACAAGCTCTATAAAATAGGTCTCCCCGATCGTCTAGTTCGTCTCGTGGCCTCCTATTTAAAACATCGTACCTTTCGTTTCAGACACGAAGGCACGCTTTCTTCACAGCGAGCTATCAAGGCTGGTGTCCCTCAGGGCTCAGTACTTGCTCCTCTGCTGTACATCCTGTTCACCAACGACATTCCCATCCCGTCGAAAGGTGTTCAACTCTCCCTCTTTGCAGATGACACTGCCATCTACTGCAAAGGTGTCTCACTACCCCTTATACGGAACAAGATCCAAAAGTCAGTTGATGACCTAGGAGCTTGGTTCAAAAAATGGCGCATCGATGTGAACCCGGAGAAGAGCTCCGCCGTCTACTTCGATTATAAACGACGCCGTCTCAAAAACACTCCACCAATACGTATGCTAGGGACCCCTGTCCCCTGGCATACGTCCGCCAAATATTTAGGTGTCACTCTAGACACAGGGCTCACTTTCAAGCCTCACGTCAAAAGAGTAACCCGTCACGCACGGTTTTATCTGAATAGGCTCAACAGTATGTTGGGCCGACACAGTAAAATGTCCCTTCGAAACAAGCGTACCCTATACAAGGTATGTATACGACCAGTCATGTCCTACGCGGGCCCCGTCTTTGCTCACGCAAACCCTAACATTTTAAATGAACTCCAAATAGTTCAGAACCTCTTCTGTCGTCGAGCTGCGAACGCACCGTGGTACGTCCGTAATGCCGACCTTCATCGGGACTTAGAGCTCCCATCAATTCAACAATTTCTTAAAAAACTCTCTGAGAACTTCTTCAAAGCCTCAGAGTCGCACCCAAACCATTTAATTCGTGAGGCAGCTTCTTATGCAGCCCCACCCCCCCTCTCGCTATCGTGTCCGCAGGCCGAGAAACTCTCTCTCGGACCCGCCTAATAAACTTTCAAACGACCTGAACTGTCTCCTGGCGGCTCAGACCAACTCTAATTAAATAAAATTATTGTAATATCTAACATTAATTTGCCTTCGTAGGCACTCCCTCAGCGGCACTTAGCCGCCTGCGCCCTCTTTTCCCAAAAGAGGGTCGCTCATGATAAGGCACAATAGAGCTTAATCAGCCGGTTGCCTGTCCCCAAAGGCGGTTTTTAGAGGGTATCACTTAGGGTCCCCGGTAGGACAGTGAGCCCCTCATAACCACGATAGACCGGCTATCGTGGTATGCGTAATGCATTTTCCGCCTCCCTACGTATAGGGTAGCCCTTTAATCTCGGGCGCAATAAAAAAAAAAAACAGATGTGAACGGCCGAGTCGGGAAGGGACGCTCTAGAAAAAAGTTTATCGACCAAATTGGCGATATTTTGAAAAGGGGCCACGTTAGAAGTACCCTTAACCGACGAGCATGTATGCGTAGATATATGGATGTAAAGGAGGCGAAAGAGGTATGTCAGGATCGTGCCAAATGGAAGTCACGAAGTCTCTGCCTATCTGGGAGACAGGCGTGAGTGTTTATGTTTATGTTATTATGTGTTTTTATGCCGGAAAATCATTTTTGTAACCTCAGATGAAGTAAAAAAATCATTGGAGTTTGTAACTTGACAATTGGTACAATTATTTTTGGATAAAAATAATGAAATACGCATTTTTTAATTTTTCATAAATTCAACGATAAGAGCCGTGGTAGCTCAGTGGTTAACGCTCGCTGTAAATATAACAGAACGCGAGTAACCCGGGTTCGATCCCCGCCGGCACCAATGAAATTGTTAATTGCAATTTTAAGTGCTGCTTTACCACGTGCTCGGCGGTGAAGGAAAACATCGTGAGGAAACCTGCATGTCTGAGGAATAAGAAAAAAAATATTTCGAAGACATGTGAAGTTCGTCAACACGCATTTGGGCAGTGCGGCGGACACTTCCTTGCCCTAAACCCTCTCAGAAATGAGGGGAGGCCTGAGCCCAGCAGTGGGACGTATATAGGCTGTAACTTTACTTAGTTTACTTTACAACGGATAAAGTGATAATATGAGGGTATAATGTTTGCGTGGGTTAAATGGCTTTCTGACTTGCATGATAGTGAGGGTACACTTAAAACGAAACTATGATTGATATTGATAATAAATATTTTAGGACTCTACGAAATATATTTACGCCTAAAATGTGGATCGATAACAATTTTTTTTTAAAAACTAAGAAACATGTGTTTCGGTTATTTTTTTCTAAACTATTGGCATCAATTGAAATTCGCATTTTTTATTCAACAGTTCGGATGGCAGCGCCTGCAACATCAGATCCATGGGTAGGGACATTATCACGATGAAAATGCACTCCAGCATTCAGTTTTCCTCGACGTTTATCCTATAGATTTTCGTGTAGTATTTTGATTAATGATGCGTAGATGACCTTCAGTTATTGTGTATCCTTTAAGTAGTCGATTATTATTATACATTCCGCATCCCAGAAGACAGAGGCACATATTTTTCTAACGGACGCGGACACATTGAATCTCTTGGATAGCGGGGAAGACGGTGTTTTCATCTACGATTACGAAACAAGCGCAAAAAGAATCTGGAGCTTCTTTAATGATTGCTAAATTTAGCTATAAAATGTCAACTGTTGCTTTTTTTTTGGGCGTCTGATTTCACTCGAGAAACCCAGCGTACGGCCACCGTTTTGAATTTTAAGATATGAGTTAAAATAAACTGATTTGTCCCAAATGAAAGCTTTAGAATTTCAGCTAAAAACGGATGGTCACACGTCGATCTACCTTAACTATTTTTTCTATTTTTTAAACGTTTTCTGGCCGCCCGGAGCGAGTGTCGGCGTTGCAAGCGGTTCTGCCGCATTTATATTCAGCACTGGTGTATGCTATTGCGAAATAAGATGGAGCATTGTCTGTCAAAGTAGACTACAGTTCCTCAAAAACACTTTTTGTAGAAAAAAATCAGGCATAAATATTTAATGACCGCACGAAGTTCGAGTTTCTCCATTTTGCACACGAGCCAAATACCCACCAAATGTGAAGTTTAAGAAAATTGGTTACAGTTTTTATTTAGTTTTCTCTAGACTTGGCTACTAATGAAATTACGTTTCGTTGAAAATAGAACGCATTTCTATATTTAATTGATAAGTGTCCTATTCCAAAAACTTATTGATCAACTTACTAGGTTGACTGGTTACTACGAATCGCTAATCATCATCATCTCATTTGACTAGGCGCGTGTTTTTTTTTTATTAAAATCATTTTGATATGTTGTGTTTATACATCGTCAGTGGCTTCGTTATAAACCAGTTTCCGCAATTTAATATGCTTAAATAAATTATGTATCATGTGAAGGCATTACGTGTAACACAGACAAACGACCTCTAATAAAATCTAATAGTGCGATGTTGCTGCACACTAACCTTATCAAAGTATTGAAATAAGGTTATTTATCTTTGTGGTTTGTTTGAATATAATTGTGAGAGAACAGAACGTTAGTAATGGAAGGGAACATAATATTCGCATTTTTATTTCTTTACATAGTTGGTGAGTGTCTTAAAATGTATTTCCAAGCATAAATCATTAGTTTATTTCATTAATGATATTTAATATCAAATTAACTAAAATTCGTATATATTTATTTTTTAGCTTTTTGGTTTACGCTATTCAGACATATTTGATGTTCGCTACTAAAACCATTATGTTCTTATGTTATCGACAAAATATTGTTGGTTCATAGTAAATTTTTAATAACTCATATTGTTAAGTAGTAGTCTCATCGCGAACGAACTGAATTTTGTTTTCCTACAATGCAATGCATTTAGACGAAAGAATCATTTATCTAATGTATTTTTATTGTAAAATCACAATTGTCATTTCCAAATAATATCAATGGTGATTCATGAAGTGACAAAAACTACAAACATGAAATAAGAATATTTATTTTATATGTATAATTCACCTATTGGTAATCTAATTGTTTATCGTTTTAATAGGCTTTGCAGGTAGATCTGGCCCGGGTTTCAATCTAATCGGAACCAGGGGAGTTTTCGGGAGTCCTATAAGTAATTACCCAAGAAGTTCACAATTCTATACTAATGATGAGGTGATCTTATTTTTTTCTAACTCTTCCATAAATTACTTCTAGACGTACTCAATTGTATTAAATTTTCGTTTTATCCAATAAAATATAAACAAATATCGTGTAGCGGCGGTGTAAGTATATCCACTAGCCTATATACTCCCGCAGGTCTCATAAGGAACGACATAGGGAAACAGATCAGGAGATGGGCAGTAGTGTCTTCCTAATAACGAATAAAAATATAAACTGCGGTTGCCAACCCACTTGCCAAGCGTGGCAACTATGGCCCCTATAAGGCAATTTACGGAGGAGGCTGTAACGGTAAGGGTAAAATAAACAAAGGCTTCTCGTTTTATTTTCTTTACAATGCAAATTTTTAGCTTTATATGCAATGTTTTTTGTAATACAGAAATACTTAAAATGTGATTTAACACTATTATGATTTCTTACATTAGAAAACTGCTAATCACACCTCTTTATTTAGTAGAATCTCCAGTAATAATCTCTCTTGCCAGGTTTACTGATGTGCTACAAATGTCGTACTTATTAAACGTTCTGACGCCATCTTTCGGTGTCCATAAGGTTTTGGTGTTTTTCTAAATAATCATTACAAGCTCAAGTGAGGAGATTAGGTTATGGATTTCATTATTTCACAACCGCCTTCACTTAAATCTTATCTTTTTCAGAAATATATTACAATGTTAGTCATTGGTAGATTACAAGATACTGTATAATATATCTAGACGTACCCTATTTTACGAATATTAAAATTACGAGTTAACCAAGATATTATTATTACTATTTGTGTGTAATGTTTTTAATATTTAAATGTGCCTTCCAGGTTGGTAACTATTATCCAAATCACGGAATAAGAAATGTCTATCAGGAAAATATCGCACCGCATAAAGATGTTTATGAAATTTTTGTTTTTGAAGATGATTTGAAGAACTTTCGAAATGGGCCCTATAGATATCCTCCTCTAAGCATTATTTTTAACAATGAACAAGGAAACAGATTTAATACAAATCCAGTTGTAGATCATGATTATATTTATGGTGATACTAGAAATCATAATTTTTTTAATTTACCTGAACCATCTTTGAAACCCAACCAACTAATACAACCAACAGAATATCAAGAACCTCAGCATATAAAAAATGAACCTGAAAAAAATTATGAAAATGTAACCACAGAACCATCTGCAATTTTAGGACTACCTATACTCATATCGACGAGTGAATCTAATCCGGATCGAGTGGTTTTTGCTACCAGGTTCGTTAAGCAGTAACAGAATAATTACATACACACATAAGTATGCTTAAACATGACAGTGCTTAAATAAAATTAAAATCATATTTACGTGTAACCTACAAGGTAAATCAAAATACTTTCCCTCCTTTCTTAGAGATCGTGTTCATGGAATATACCTATATTAACTCCTCGAAATATTTTTAAATCTTGAACAGGTTTTCTCACGATGCGTTGACAGTGGTCAAACACGTGGTAAATAAATGCTTAAAATTAAATAAGTTTTTTTTAAAAAAAGTAATTCAAATAGAGCGTGTAAAGTTATAAACAATATAATACATTCATAAAATGTATAGTAGTGGTAAAATAATTTGGGGTATTTTTTATACTTTTTTTTAGCTTTGATCAGTTGAACCAACATAAAAGTATATCTTATGGTTGTAAATATAAAATAACAAGCATTCACAGCGCTTGATGTTGATAAAGAACCTATCAAAAGTCTACTCCTGAACGTAGCTAGGGAACACTCTTGTCTCCGCATGTCGGTTTCGGACTTAAAATTATTAATATCTTACTATTTATGTAATTACTTTAAATCTGAACGAATCTAAAATTACTTTTCAGTTCGGAAACACCATCTCAAAAGCAATGTATTCAGGATTGTGAGTCATCTTCGGCTTATAGCCCTGTATGCGGTTCTAACAATGTGACATTTTTCAATGAAGAAAAATTCATCTGTGCGCGGAATTGTGGGATTAGTAAGTACTTACTTTTATTATTGTAAGCGCAGAAAGCTATTATTAGAATTGTGAGGTTCAGATCAGTTTTAACTACAGACTAAATAGACTAAGGATCTGGGGGCGCACGGACAGTGGATAGTTGGCGTGGCGAAGAAAGTCGGGCTTAAGAGGAAATATTTTGTAATTATAGTATTTTACCAAATCCAGTAAGTATTGTGTGATAGCCATTGCTTTTCAATTTTTAGTTATTAGTACACATGTATTGTTTATGTTAGCATTCAATTATTTTAAAAAAATGTACGTAATATCATTTTTCTGGTTAATATTTCCAATATGGACCATCGATTTCAAAGCCCATATTGTTTTTGTAGATAGTACTCACTAAAAGAAAGCGTTTTGCAAAGTTTTAAGTTGCGGAAACTTATGGTTCATGAGATAGATTTTTTTAAACTTTTCATACAAATTGGCAAATAACACGCAATTACACCAATTACAAAATAAATTTGACAAATGATTGTTGTCAAACGTCAATTAGTGTAGGGTTCCGAATATTTTGAAAGTATCGATACGTACTCCATACCAAGTATCGTATCAAAAGTATCAATACTACTTTGTATCGAGTACATTTCGTTAATTTTGGAGACTAGGGGGTAAGAAGCCGGGAAGTTGTGCTCCGGCGCTCCGTGGCAGCTCCGGCGCTGCGGGATGAGCAGTGCCTCCGCCCTAGTGTAGAGAAGCGCAGGCACCGAGATCGCCGTAGCGGCTGAGGCTGGTCGCCGAAGGCGACCAAAAAGCCGAAGCTGCGAAGGTGAGCTTCCCTACGGCGGGCGGGCACTGCTCTCCCTTTTTTTTTTGCGCCCGAAGCAAATATGGGCAACCCTCCGGAAAGCGGGGGAGGGAGGCGGTGAATGCTCACAGCATACCACGCAGCCGGCTGCGTGGTTATGTGGAGACTTTTACCCACTAAACACCGCCTTTTAGGAATTGGCTTAACGATCTGTCTAGAGATCTCTAAGCCGTATATGAACGCGACCCTCCTTGGCAGGAAGGAGGGCGCAAGCGGCGAAAAGCCGCTTAGAAGAGTGCCTTACTAAGGCAGATTAAGGGATGTGTTATGTAGGTTCGGCCTGAGCCGCCAGGAGGCAGTTCAGGTCAGCCGAAAGATTGTTGGGGGGGTCCGAGAGAGTTTCTCGGTCTGCGCACACTATAGCGAGTGTGGATAGGGGCTGCATAGGCAGCTGTCTCACGAATGAGATGATTTGGGTGGGACTCTGAGGCTTTGAAAAATCTCTCAGAGAGTGATTTAAGGAACTGCTGGATTGTTGAAAGCTCGAAGTCTCGATGTAGGTCGGCATTACGGACATAATAGGGCGAGTTAGTGGCCCTACGACAGAATAGATTTTGAACTATTTGAAGTTCATTTATAGCTTTGGGGTCGGCTTTAGTAATCTGCTGCACGATTTAAGTGATCATTTTAGCTTTAGTTGACAATGACACTGACACTATTAATTATCATCTAGCTGTTTTTTTATGCCGGAAATCTTTAGTTTTCGAGATATCGACAATTATAGTTTTGAGGTTATATCCATTTAAAAATGATACAAATACGAAATAAGAATATATTTATTACAAAGAGATAGCAATAGAGCATGGCCTGTACTCTGTTTTAAAAAAAAATAAGCAACAAGGATATAATTATTAGAAAGAGATAACAATAGTATAGTTTGTATGATCTATTAATCTATTTATAGTGCTATCCTACTCTAACATACGATGTTAAACCACGTATTGTTTTTTAGTCACCATCCATTCCACTTTCGTCTTCGGACTTTGAATGTTTTGCGCTCATTTTTTTGCTCCTAATTCTTGACCCTTGCTCGATTATCGGACCTCCGTTTACCGCCTGCTCTATTTTCGACCTCTGCTTGTTTCTTGGACCTGTGATTTGCCTTGACGAAGACCCGTGCTCGAATACCGGACCACCGATTTGCCCTACGAAGACCCCTGCACGTTTTCTTGGACTTTGCCTACCTGTCTGTCTACCTGAGAGACCCAAGATGGCCGACGACTCTACGCCGTCAACTAGTTCGGCCGGTCCGTCGAACGCAAGCGACGCCGCCGCAACGGATGTAGTACCCTTCGCGGAGCTTTATGGTGATTTTGTGCGCAGGCGTTTATATGTGGAAGAAGGAGCTAAATTTTTTAATTTACCCCGAATCGTGCGAGAACTCGGTACCAGAGTACAGTGTGTGTAGTTTTCCATTGAAAATGGCTTAATCCCTGCCACTAAGGAGTGCCGCACCCATAGATTGCCAATGAAAGTGGTATATGGGCAAAATAAAAATGTGTGCTCCTTTGTTTGCAATAAAGGAAATTGCAGAGCCCGATCCAGGGTAGCTCGTGGCAAGGGCACCTGGTTTGAAAATATTAAAATGTCATTGCCACGGGTATTCTATCTGATGTATTGTTATGCGCATCGCTGGAGCTATGAAGATGCAATCCACGAAGACCCAGAAAAAGATATAGAGGGAGGCTGCTTATCTATGGCGACTGTCTGCGATTGGTACAATTACTGCCGGGAGACAGTCGTCATTTACCAAATAGAGCAACAAGAGGCCATCGGCAAGATTGGTGGCCCAGGAAAAGTAGTCCAAATAGACGAGTCAAAATTTGGAAAACGGAAATATAATAAAGGTAATTTGATTTTCTTATATTACAGACTGAAACAATATATTTATAATAATAATATAATGATAATTAAATTTATTTCAGACCTACATATAGTCCATAATATGTTAGTAAATTAGCTTAACCTATGTTAGTCTTAAATTATTACACATTATTTATTTTAAAGTTTACTTTTGAACCCAAATTATCTTTTAATACCTTTTATTAAATATATTTGAATACCTTTTAAAGCCAAAATATCTGGAAGAAATCAGTTTCAGAGTGATAAGACAGCCTGTTGTACATATTCTGCTATAAAATTTTGTACTTTTGTATTTGTTTTTTTTTTTGTAATTTTGTACTATTGGGTTTTGGTGTACACTGTACAATATAGAGTAAATAAATAAATAATTATCTTGAATATTTACTAACTCTAAATTGTTTATTGTTGATTTTAGGAAGGCAGATTGAGGGCCACTGGATCCTCGGCCTCATTGAGGATGGAAGTGAGGATTTACGACTAGAGGTGTGCCCTGAAAACATCAGGTCAGCGGACATACTAGTGTAGTGTATATATGTAGTGTAGTTAGTAATTAAAAAACATGTGGTTGAGGGCACCACAATCCATACAGACTTCTGGAGGGCTTATGATTGTTTGGGGCAACATGGGTACATTCACAAGAAGGTGAACCATTCAGATCCTGAGAACCCATTTGTTGCCCCTGATGGCACTCATACTCAAAGAATCGAATCGCAATGGCGGGTGGTTAAAAGATTTTTCAGTAAATACAATTATAACCACCCGGAAAACTTTTCAGACATTATTATAGAATATTTGTGGAGAAGGTCAGTGCAAAGAAAAAAAAAGGATCCTTTTATGGAACTAATTAAAGTAATTAACCATGTATATAAATAAATGTTTTTATAATATTATATTTGCTCATTTCTTTTGATCAAACCCTAGTACCAGAAGGTATAAATCACAAAACCGAATCTGTCAACCCCAACTTCCACGTGGTCTTTCCGCTCTTACCCCTAGAGTGTATATGAAAATCCGGAAGCGCGGAGGGAATGCAGCCCTCCTAGCCCACCTGCGCAGCTTCGGCTGTTTGGTCGCCTTCGGCGACCAGCCTCAGCCGCTACGGCTCGTACGCTGCCTGCGCTTAGTTACGCAAGGGCGAAAGGGCTGCACTTCCCGCAGCGCTGGAGCAGAAGCAGAGTCAAAATAGTACTAATTCCCACCGTTTTTACCACCCTAAATACTGCCACATTCCCACCGGGACCCGAATGTGAGTTTTTCGTAGCCGGACGCCCTTTTTTTATTAAACGAAAGCGAATTTTCCTTAAATGTAACAAAACTTTAAAAATTCATAAAAAAAAGGGGGGGGGGTTTCCGGCACTTTTTCCTTTCAGGGGGAGGTTCCTCCCCCTCCCCCCCTCCCCCCACCAACTCGGCGACCATATATTCATGCAGCAGATTACTAAAGAAAACCCTAGCTTTGGGCTTAGCATGTGCAAAAATGGGGGCCGCGTAGGTCATGACAGGTCGTATGCAGACCTTATATAGGGTTCGCTTGTTGCGGAGGGACATTTTACTGTGTCTGCCCAACATACTGTTGAGCCTACCCATGTAAAAACGTGCGGTGCGAGTAACCTTCTTGATATGGGGCTCGAAAGTGAGCCTTGCATCAAGGGTGACGCCTAGGTATTTGGCTTTAGTTTGCCATGGGACAGGGGTTCCTAACATCCTGATTGGCGGAGTGGTGGTGAGCCGACGTCGTTTATATTCGAAGCAAACGGCGGAGCTTTTCTCCGGGTTTACGTCGATACGCCATTTTTGGAACCAAGCTCCTAAGTCGCTTACTGACTTTTGGATCTTGTTCCGAATCTGTGGTAGTGAGTTGCCTTTGGAGTAAAGGGCTGTGTCATCTGCAAAGAGGGCTAGTTTGACACCATTCGACGGGATAGGGATGTCGTTGGTGCATAGTATGTATAGGAGGGGAGCAAGCACAGAGCCTTGAGGGACACCGGCTTTTATTTGACGGGTAGAGGATAGCGTGCCTTCGTGTCTAAAACGAAAGGTACGATCCTTCAGATAGGAGGCTACAAGGCGAACGAGACGGTCTGGGAGGCCTAAGTCGTACAGTTTGTAGATAAGGCCCTCGTGCCAGACTCTGTCGAATGCCTTGGCAATGTCAAAGAAGACCGCGATGGTTTTTTGACGGCGAGGGTAAAAACCGCTGAGGATGTATTCCACTATGCGGTGAACTTGTTGGGGGCATGAGTGTTTGGCTCGAAACCCGAATTGTTGTGGGATGACAAGAGGGTCGCCGTCTGTGGGAAACAAATGG